TACTGTAAATATATCAAAACCTAATTTTTGATTTTTAATATGCATTGCTAAGAACTTCATTTGGACAACTTTAAAGATGATTTTCTCAATATTTAGATTTTTTTGCACCCTCAGATTCCAGATTTTCAAATATCATCCGATCCTAACAAACCATACATCAATGGAAAGCTTATTTATTCAGCTTTCAGATGATGCATAAATCTCAATTTCCAAAAATTTACCCTTATGACTGGTTTTGTGGTCCTGGGTCACATTTGTAGTAAAACCATGGTTAATTTTTTTTTAAGGGTTGAAATGCACACACAATTTCATCCAGCTGCAAAATTCAGAGATTTTAATTGTAACTGTGAGAGAGAGAGAGAGAAGCTAACTAAAGCCATTTAGGCCCCAAACAAATTTAATTTGAATCTGAGTGAATAATGCATGCTTCTGCACAGTTCTGGAAACGAGCCGGTGTGTTTTGAGGAAATGACTCTGGGTCTGGATAAGGTCCGGCGTCTCTCCACGCAGTCCTCGGTTCTGCTGCCCGGCTTCACCCTCACCACCTGCTGGAGCTGGTACTGGAAGAACGAGTACCACCGCTGGATCCAGTACGGGTCGATAGTGCGTCACGACTCGCTCTGGTCTGTTTGTATTGTGTGTGTGTGATCAGGCAGGATCTGCTGATGATGCTGTTCCTCTCAGGCGGAGATGCACCGGATGTCTTCGGTCAGCATCGAGCAGCTGGAGCTCAGATATCAGGAGTATCTGCAGCAGGAGCAGGAGGACGCTGGGATCAAGTTTAGCGCGGGAAACTGCTTCTATGAGCTCCGCTTCACAGGTTTGCTTTGTGTGAGACCGTATCCACCTTATTTTTCAACGTGGAAGTAAGCCGTCTTCTGTGAATGTGTGAGACTTCCGGTTCATTAGCCACTGTAGGGAAATAACCAGAAGAATGACGAAGTGCGGTAAACGGCAAAATTGTTTGCACTACAAACTAGTGTGTTTATAATGAACTCTTTCCCCGCTAGCGTTTTTGCTGATTTCCACTAAAATTTCATGGCCCGCAGAATATTTTGTTGTGTGAATATCTGAACACGCAATACATCACAATAAAATCAGACCCTCTACTTTCAAACAAAAGAATCAGTTTAATTCTAGCTTCAAGCATTGTTTTTTTATCAACACTTGAATGTAGGTAGGTTTCATAAAAAAAGCAACATTTTGAGCAAATTGCATTTTTATCAAATACTGCATCTGGATCATATTCGGTAATATTATCAGAGCAAAGCTGCAGTAGATGGCTTCCATCAGCGCTCCCAAAGCTTGCACACTTTCTGGATCCACATTTCACTCGCTAACATCAGGCAGTTTTCATTTATACGCGGTTAGTGTTGATGATCGCATTATTTTTCATATGCATGCGCTTACATCTGAGATCGCTGGTTTCTGCGTCTTCCTCGCCTGTGTTTTTGATCGAGTGATTCTAGACTCATTCAGGAGATGCGTAATAGCGCCCCCTAGCGTACAACAGTGAAAACACTGAAACAGGGAAAATTCTGTGTTTGGAAGGCAAGCGTTATCTCATGAATAACGGAAAATTCCGTGTTTGGTGGGGAAAGAGTTAAGATAATAATAATACTAATAATAACATAATAATGAAACATGTTAAGAACGTGTTAAAAGATGTTAGCAATGTGCTTAACATGCTAGCAACATGTTAGATAGAAGCTAATTCATGCTCACAATGTGCCAAACATGTTAGCCATGTGTTAAAACGTGCTAGAAACATGTTGGTTAAAACATGTTAGCAACATGTTAAACATGTTAGAAACAAGGTGGCAATGTGTCAAACATGTTAGCCATGTACTTATCATGTTTGCCAACATGTTTTAACATTAGCATGTTTCTAGCATGTTTGTTAAAACATGTTAGCAACATGCCAATTATTGTTAGTATAATATTTAAACATGCTAACATAGTGTAAAAACATGCTAGGAAAATGTTAATTCATGTTAGCAATGTGCTAAACATGTTAGAAACAAGCTAATTCATGCTCACAATGTGCCAAGCATGTTAGCCATGTGTTAAAACATGCTAGAAACATGTTAGTGTTAAAACATGTTAGCAACATGTTAATTCATGTTAGCCATGTGCTAAAACATGTGAGTAACATGCCAATTCATGCTAGAATAATGTTAAAATATGCTAGGAACATGTTAATTAATGCTAGCAACATGATAAAACGTGTTAGGAACGTGTTAAAACTTTAGTGATGTGTCAAACATGTTAAAAACAAGCTAATTCTTACTTGCAACGTGTCAAACATGTTAGCCATGCGTTAAAACATGCTAGAAACATGTTAGTGTTAAAACATGTTAGCAACATGCCAATTCATGCTAGCATAACGTTTAAACTTTAACATGATATGGTAAACATGGTAAAACATGCTAGGAACATGCTAGTAATGTTAAAACATGTTAGCCATGTATTAAAACAGGATAGAAACATGTTCATTTTAAAACATGATAGCAACATGCTAATTAATTTTAGCCATGTGCCAAAACATGTTCGCAACATGCCAGTTCATGCTAGTTCATGCTTTACCATAATGTTAAAACATGCTAATAAGGTCTTAAAACATGTTAGCAATGTGTTAAACATGCTAACAGCATGTTAATTCGGGCTAGCAACATGTTAAACATGTTAGAAATAAGCTAATTCATGTTTGCAATGTGTCAAACATGTTAGCCATGTGCTAAAACATGCTAGAAACATGTTAGTGTTAAAACATGTTAGTAACCTGTTAAATCACATTAACCATGGGTTAATACATGCTAGCAACATGCCAGCATAGTGATAAAACATGCTAGTGTATTGTTAAAATATGCTGAGAACATGTTAGTTTATGTTAGCAACATGTTAAAACATGTTAGCAAACTGGATAACTGATCTTAGCAATGTGTTAAAACACACTAGAAACAAGCTAGCAACGTGCTAAAACATGCTATCAACATCCTAATTCATTTTAGCAACATGCTAATTAATGTCAGCAATGTGCAAATAATTGTTAGCCATGTGCTACCACATGCTAGCATAGTGTTGACGTGCTAGCAACATGCTAATTCATGTAAGCCATGTAGTAAAACATGCTGGCAACATTGTGATGCATGCTAGCAGCATGTTAAAACATGTTCGGAACATGCTAATTCATGCTAGCAACATGCTAAAAGATCCTAGCAATGTGTTAAATCATGCTTCAAACATGCTAGCAGTGTGCAAAATCATGCTATCAACTTGCTAAAACATGTTAGTGACATTAATTGACTTTGTTACATCTCTGAGTAAATCCTTCAAACTTCAAGCTTTCCAGAGTTACTTTAAACTTTCAGAACTGTGTTTTTGTGTGTAATCTTGTTCACAGACATGAAGCAAAGAAATGAGGTGAGCGGCACAGAGAGAGCCGTCAGGCGCCGGCCCGTGTTTGTCTCGTCGGTCGGCGTCCAGATCGCCAGAACGAGGTGACGACGCTCTCCAGCAGGTTTATGTCAAGCGTCTGCCTGTTGTATTGCGTTATTCTGCCTGATCTTGTTTTCCAGATGTTGCGGCGCCATTAAGACTCACTTTTCTAAAGGCGTTCCTGGATTTTGGGACCAAAATGCCATTCCTGACTTTGGATTTCAGGTTGGGATTTTTGCTTCATCATCACTGCTAACCGATACTACAGGGGCTGGATTCACGAAACATTCTTAACTCTTTCTCCGCCAAAAGAGCCTGTTGTACGCTAGGGGGCGCTATTACGCATCTCCTGAATGAGTCTAGAATCACTCGATCAAAAACACAGACGAGGAAGACGCAGAAACGAGCGATCTCAGATGTAAGCGCATGCATATGAAAAATAATGCGATCATCAACACTAACCGCGTATAAATGAAAACTGCCTGATGTTAGCGAGTGAAATGTGCATCCAGAAAGAGCTGTGAAGCTATGGGAGCGCTGATGGAAGACATCTACTGCAGCTTTGCTTTGATATTATTACTGAATATGATCCAGATGGAGTATTTGATACAAATTAGATTTTTTTTTTTTTATATAAGTTGTCCAAATTCAGTTGAGAAACTTCAGGAAACAGGCCTGAAGAGAGAGAGAACGCTGTCTGCGCCTCAGACCTTTCTGACTTGACACGTGAGGACAAAAATCATGCTTTCGGAAATCATCCAATTATAAGATTTTAAAAAAATTATGACATACTAAGTCATAATTATGAGATTAAAGGTCAAAATCATGAGATTTACAATTCATAATTATGAGATAAACAGCCAATTGTGAGGCAAAAATTATAACAAAGTCATATTTATGATTTGAAGTTAAAAAAAGACATGACATTCATGTCATAAAATGTAATAATTATGACATGAACAATCAATTACAAGATGAAATGTAAAAATTGTAACAGTAAGTCATGATTATGAGATAAAAGGTCAAAATCATTTGATTTAAAGTCATAATTATGAGATAAACAGCCAGTTGTGAGAATTTTTGTAAGAAAGTCATATTTATGATTTAAAGATCAAATTGAGATTAAAAATGTCATAATTATGACACAAACAGTCAATTATAAGGTAATAATGCAATTTAAGTTTAAAATTGTGAGTCAATTTTGAGATGAAATGTAAAAATGGTAACCGTAAGTCATAATTACGAGCTAAAATGCGATTTAAGTTGCAATTATGATAGTCAATTGAGATAAAATAAAATTATAACAGACATAATTATGAGATAAACGGTCAAAATTACGAGTCAATTATAAGATAAGTAAAAATCATGCAATAACTGACACAAGTCAATTATGAGAAAAACGTTAAAATTATGGCATACCAAATCATAATTATGATCAAAAGTTAAAAATCACAGCATACTAAATCATTATTACACCATAAAAGGACAAAATTATGGCAGCTTAGACTTTGTAATAATTTCAACTTGTATCCCATAATCATGATTTATCAAAGCATTATATTTGTTTCTTATGTGGTGTTAAAACAGATGTGTTATTTCTGTTTAGTATGGTTGAATTGGATCATCGGAAGGTCAGCAGCAAAGACATTAGTTAATAAAATGTGATTAAATACATAAATGATATTGGTCTTATTTAACATATTTAATTATTGCAGGTTTGTATAATATTCTGAGTTTGCATTTGACTGTTTTTATTGATTGTGAGGAACACTGAATGTGTTTGTGTGCAGTGAGATGAGTAAACACATGTTGATATTTAGTCTAGAACTACAGTAAGATCATGTTCACACACAACGCTCTGCACTTACTCCTGATTTCTGTCACCATGGCAACACCAGAGCTGTCACTCAATACATGGAAACAAAGTAACTGCTGTTACT